AAAAAAAAAATAGGGGTGCGTGCGTGTGTGTGTGTGCGCGCGCGTGCGCGTGTGCTTGTGTTTATGTATATATATCATTGCCTTAACATTTGTAAACTATGTATTGGTCAATTTGCCACCAAAAACTGGAAATTGAGTGGCAGAGAGCAGTGCTTTTTAAATTTTATTTTAATAATTAACTAATTTTGTAGTACTGTGGCTTGAACCCAGGGGTGCTCTGCATCAGAGCTACATCCCTAGCCCCCTTTTTATTTTGAGACAGAGCCTCACCAAGTTGCCAAGACTGACTTTGAACTTGGGATCCCCTCCTTCAGCCTCTGGTGTAGCTGGCAGCACAGGCATGAGCCACTGTGCCTGGCTTTAGTGTAGTCATTTATGAAATGTAGGCCGATAGAAACTAACTTTGACTTGGTTGGCCACCTCCTCTTTGAAAAAAAAGCTCAAAAAGTATCCTTAGCTTAGTTTTAGGAACTTCTTACGTTTCAGTTTCAGAGTAATAAACCAAGAGAAAGCTTAGGAAAGTGGTGTGTGTATGTCTGTCTCTCTCAGTCACACAAACACACATCATCAATTCCAGGTGACTGGGCTCTCTGTACCTTTCTTCAACCAACCCCAAGACCTCGATATTCAGTAGTTAGCTTGCTTTCTTTCTCTTTCTTGCTTTCTTTTCCTTCCCTCCCCCTCCACTTTCTTTCTTTCCCAAAATAAGGTCATTTAAGCCAAAGATGAGATCTCACTTTGCAGTAATTTTAACCCTCTGCAGCACAAAGCTTCTGCCCAGATTTGTTATAAAATCTACCACCTCATCTTCACTGATATAGACATCTTCTCAGGAACCTGCATTTCCAGACTTTTCAGGCCATTCAGCAGAGTGCTTATAATTTAAGTCATGACTTTGGGATGGAAACTTTACTTCTCTTTTTTTTTTTTTTGGTGGTACTGGGAATTGAATCCAGGGCCTTGTACATACAAGGCAAACACTCTACCAACTGAGCCTTATGCCAAGCCCCCTTTACTTCTCTTTCGAAAGCCCAAGGTTTAGGCTTATTTGCCCTGTAATTAAGTTTAAAAAAAGAAGAAAGAAAGAGAGAGAGAGAGAGAGAGAGAGAGAGAGAGAAAGAGAGAGAGAGAGAGAGAGAGAGAGAAAGAAAGAAAGAAAGAAAGAAAGAAAAAAGAAAACCTGTGAGGAGCATCTGACCCACCCTATCTTAGAGGACTAAGGGGCAAAGCATCACCAGGGGTTTTAACCCTAAGAAAAAGCTGCCTCACTGTCTTTGAACTGCTTGGAATCATTTGACTCACAGCTTTTGGAATTTCTGCAAAGGCCCCTTCCTAGCTAGAAAATTTAAAATCCCTGTGGCTGTCCAGACACCTGCCTCCACTTCTGGGACAAGGCTTTAGCTTTTCATAAGATTTGGTGTGAAGCTAGGCCTGGCACCAGAGTTTCCCAGCAGCTCCTCTTGACATGGTCTCAGGAAAGAAATGACTGTGGGTCACAGTATTCTTGTCCTATTTTCCTTTGAAACAGATTCTTTTTTTTTTWWTTTWWTTTTTTTTTTAGTTTTTTTAAGTGGACACAATATCTTTATTTTGTTTTTATGTGGTCCTGAGAATCGAACTCAGTGCCTCATGCATGCTAGGTGAGCGCGCTACCGCTTGAGCCACATCCCCAGCCCTGAAACAGATTCTTAATGAGTACCTCAGGCAGCCCTGAAACAGATTCTTAATGAGTACCTCAGGCAGATAGTTCTGAAATGGTCAACCAAGCACTGTAATCACTGAGTTAGTTTTTCTGGGTGTTTGAAACTCTTGAGGATGGAAGTTTCAGAGAACTGTTTGATTTAACACTGCATGCAGTAGTGCTGCTGCATCCCATCAGCTTTTGCCTCAGGGAAGTAAGATTCCTGCAGTGAAGTTAGCCTTTGGAGGCCAGAAGGAAGTGTGCTCCAGGACAAAGAGGCATGAAGTGCTCATCAGCCTGAAAAGGCTCCTTCCAAAAGCAGAGATAGACTAGGCAGCTAGGAAGGTGGTTTTGGGGCCCACAGATAGAGATAGACCAAATCTGCCTGTGCTCCCAGAAACATTTCAGCTTTGAGCCATGGGTGTGAACATCTGCTGTCCTCTGCTGAGCCTTGGTCTTCTCTTCATCCTGGCTCTAAGCGCTAATACTTTCATGGCACACTGGAGCGTTAAGAGCCTGAGTTAAAGCTTTTAGCACACAATTAAATGCAGCCTGTGGTATTATTGTATTATCTGAGATTTAATTGTAAGCATGAGAGACTCTTAAGGGCACTTTTGTAGCTTTGTTTTCCCATGATGGGGTTTTCTGTGAGAGGTTTATTGATTTTGCTTCCCCTTGGGAGGTGTTTGGCCAGAAGCTAGTGCTGAACACCCAGGATCCTCAGAGTCCCACAGACCCCCATTGATCATGGCTTTTGGGAACAGAGATAATAAAGCCAGGATAGCTTTTTCCTCACAAGATGTGTAACATGGAGTTGGGCAGTACTAAAGCTGTGACACAGGATGACAGCATATCTTTGGGCTCCTAGCAGACAGTGGAACTCTTCACAGTATTGGGAGGTGTGGAGATGGAGGGCAAAGAAATCCACACTTACTACAGCCATTCTGACAATGTTACACAGATTTTAAGATTGATTGCTTATATAAATTTTGATCATACAGCCATGAGCCAGCAGTTCTCTTGCAACCATGCTGTTCTCCCATACTCTACAGGATCTACATACCTTCTTTTGTATTCTGTTACTTGTGGGGAGGGGGTGTTATCATTTTGCTTGTTTTGATCTGTTTAAAGACTTTTGTTTCAGGGCAGCTTTCTTTGGAAGACTAGGGGGCAATACCCATCTCTGATCATGGGAAGTTTGCCTATAGAGATTGCACTCATACAAACTGTGGTCTGTTTATCTCTGCCCCTGACCCAGGTGCAGCTGAATGCTGGTCAACTGCAGTATATCCGCTTAGCCCAGCCTGTATCAGGCACTCAAGTCGTGCAGGGACAGATCCAAACACTTGCCACCAATGCCCAACAGGTATGTACCCCAGAGATGGAGGGCTTGAGTTGGAGACTAGTAGCAGCTCTCTGGCTTCTGGCTAGAAAGGAGCCCTCAGCATACAATTCTCACTACTTTTAGGAAGACACCCCTCCCACTCCCCCAGGCCCCCCAAAAGTCTCTTCTGCCCAAGGGACTGATGAGGGTAACTGGATGATTGAATTCAAAGGGTGTCACTTACATCTTGTTCTTGAGGGGCAAAGGAATGTCGGGAAGAACAAGTCAGGAGGATACCTAAAATGAGGCCTAGTAAGTGCATGTGCAGGTCAGGCTGGAGGAAGCCTAGTCCCTGGTCTGTTTCCATCTTTAAATCTGAATGGCTGTTGTGTTCTGGCACATCCTCTGCCCTCTGGAAAGCTTCTTAGAGTTTACCCCACCTCTGCATGTATCCTCAGCCAGAAGACTTACCCTCTGTCTCCTCCCTTGCCCTATAATACCAAAGGCTGTTAGTCAAAGAGCCAAGGGGGCAGCCCCCCTGGACTTGGGTTGAGGGTCGTGGGCATCATTTGCAGAGGATGGGGGACACTGTTCAAGGGGAGTCATTGTTAATGGATTCTTTGCCTCAGACCCAAAAAAAGCAGCAATCGTTTAAGAGCTGGACCTGTCTGGCCCAGTTGCATTTTTGGTGATGCATCTATTGACAGTAGTGACAGAGCTGAGTTTGTAGAGCAGGTCTCTAAAGATCTCATTTGAGCAAATGTGAGGAATGAGCCAAAGCAAGGCTTCTCAGTTCCATACAGTCTCTGGGATCATAAAAAGACCTTTTCCTTACCTACTCCCTGCACATCCATGAACCATGTGGGGCTTTTCCATGGTATTCTTGGAACTCATACTTGCATCTCAATATTGGTCACACCTTTGGGTCCCAAAATCTTATGAGAAGAGTTATTGGTTCCTTAGAGTTCACTTTGGGATACAGAACTATAGCCAGAAAATGGGGATAGTTGGCCAAAGAAGGGAGGATGCAAGAAGAGGGGTACCTGAGGGTAGTTAAAAATCTCCATAACAGCATGTAATTGTGATAACCTGACATCAGTAGGTGCTCAATAAATGTTTGTTGCATGAATGCCAAGTAAATAATATGTATATGTGATTTAAAGGTAAATGAAATTTCCTTCCCAGCCGCTCTATATTGTCAGTCCTACTGGCCATAGGTCAGTTAACTTTTTTTTTTTTTTTAAGTTTTAGGTGGACACAGTATCTTTATTTTACATTTATATGGTGCTAAGGATCGAACCCAGTGCCTCATGAATACTAGGCGAGCACTCTACCACCGAGCTACAACCCCAGCCCCATCAGTTAACCTTTTTATGAGGAGATTTATCCATTTGTTTCAGATTCAATTATTTATTCTGCAGAAATTTCTTGAATTTTTACACTGGCGATATAAAGAGTTCAACAGCTCTTGCTTTTGAGTAGCTTATAGATCTGCGGGAGAAGGAAAAATAGTAAGGAATTTTTATGAGGCCTTTTATCACCTGTCCCCTTTCTTGTTCTTCATTGCCCCCTGGGTAGGCTGCAGAGGTTGTTTTTGTCTGTTGTGAGAACATTCAAGAGGACCAGTCTTAACTTGCAGTTTGACTATGATGAGTCAAGGAGATGGTACACAGAGACCATTGCTCACCCTATGTTCCATAGACATACACACATGCAGAGGCTCTGGTCTTCTATTTAGTTTACCAAGCTGTTCCCAGTAGTGTGTGCTACTGGGTGTTCCACATGCCAGTAAATTTATTTTAAAATTCCCACATAAGATTTTAAGTGCATGTGATAAATGTTTTTCTTGCTGCACCCCTAGTTTCTCCCCTCTCCTCCTTCTCTCCCTTGACTCAGAGGGCTGCACATTACCTCACTCAGAAAAAGCACTTCATAGGCTTTTCATGAGGACCACCAGGGCCAAGGCCACTGCTTACCAAGGTGTTTCATATTCCACTCAGATAAATCTGGGTCATAGGTTGGTTTGAAGCCCATCTTCCAAGGATGAAAGGGACCACTCACCACTTTGCCCAAACATTTTGCCTTTACTGGCTGATAGATGGACTCTTAGGGTTTCTGCCCCATACTATAAATGTTATTCCCTCTCATGATAAAACCACAGAGCTAGGTGTTCTCTTTGAGTCTCAGACTTTAAAGTGAGGGGATAGTTGCAAGATGTGGACATTAAGGGATAGGAGCCTGATAGTTGTGTCTTACATGCTCCATTGTTCTTCATGTACCTGTGTGGTGCCAACTCTGGGTAGCTGGGTGATTGGGAGGGACTCTTGCCCTCATCAAGCATCCATTTTATGCAGGCCTTGTTCTGGGCACACTTTGTAGGCGTTGTTCCTGATCTTCGTGGTTGTGGGCTGACATGCAGCTTATTTGCCTACTCTACCATCTTGCTTTCCACAGATCACACAGACAGAGGTCCAGCAAGGACAACAGCAGTTCAGCCAGTTCACAGATGGACAGGTAGGGTATCCAACCTGGGCAGGTCAAAGGGCAAGGAGTGGGAGGGGGGGACGAGTTGTGGGTGGTATGTGGGTTTGGATGGTTAGAGTTATTGGCCTATCCTCTGCTAACAATGAGGGGACAGAAATTGTTAAAACAAGTGAAATCTTTAAATCAGGCATGTATCCTTTATATTTGTAGGCATGTGGGAGCTAAAACCACTCTTAGACACTGTATAGCCCAAATGGCCATTTTACAGAGGAGTAAACTCAGCCCTAGGGATGGGAAGTGCTTTATCCAACTGTTGGTTGTAGGGTAGAATTCAATCTTCTGTTTCCCACTCTAGGACTGTTTTTGTCCTAAGTCCTTATTCTTTTTAATAGCACATATGAGTTCAGCTCATGTGACCTATTGAGCTCTCTTGATGCCAGGATTTAGTAATTGTAAACATGTACAAGGAAGAGCCTTCCTTTTTTCCCCTGCTCTCCCCTCACCAAGTGCTCCCAAAGACCAGAGTATGTATGTGATAGGATGACGTGTCCAAACTTGTACTGTCCATTGGCCAAGAGAGAGAAGAGCTGGCATCAAAACTCACCACTGACTTCTGCAAGTACCAGATGCTAGACCCTTAGGCCAGGGTTCCTATGGGTAGGGGTCTTAGTTTTGGGTTTTTTCAGGGCCCTAAGAAACCAGAGACCAGTAGGTCCTAACCTTACTAGCGACTGCATGAGCATTTTTTCTAACCCTCATGGGGCTTGTCTAATTGCAGTCCACCTCCTTTGCAGGACCCATGTAAGAAATGCAGGTTCAGTGTAGCTTCAGCCTGAGCCAGGTATTCTGAGGAAAGGAGAAGCAGGGGTATCCTGCTGCCCCTTTCAGTGAGGATTGCAAAGGGGGAAATGCTGACTTCCAAGCTGCTGGTACAGTGGTCGATTGCTTGTGTTTGTCACAGAGGAACAGCGTGCAGCAAGCCCAAGGCTCTGAGCTAACGGGAGAGGCAGAGCCCAGAGAAGTGAAAGCCACAGGAAATGCAACTCCCTGCACCTCTTCCCTGCCCACCACACACACTCCCTCCCACCAGGCTGATGCCTCCTGTGTCTGCTGCTCCCTGCCCCAGCAGAGCGCCACACCTGCTCCTCCCTCTGATGCCTTGCAGTGGGTGGTGGTTGAGGTTTCTGGGGCCCCCAACCAGCTCGAGGCCCATAGGGAGCTGCATGCCCCTCTCCCAGGGGTGACCTCACTCTCTCCTCTCCACCCCTCGCAGCAGCTCTACCAGATCCAGCAAGTCACCATGCCTGCGGGCCAGGACCTCGCCCAGCCCATGTTCATCCAGTCAGCCAACCAGCCCTCGGATGGGCAGGCCCCCCAGGTGACCGGCGACTGAGGGCCTGAGCTGGCAAGGCCAAGGATACCCAACACAATTTTTGCCATACAGCCCCAGGCGATGGGCGCAGCCTCCCTCCCCAGAGGACCCTGCCGACCTCAGCGCCTCCTGCAGGCTAGGACATTGGTGCACTACACCCCACGCCTGTGGGCCGAGATTTTCCAACAAAAAGATGCAATATTTTTTATTTCCTTTTTTTTCCACTTTTTTTCTCCAAGAAATCAATATTTCAATGTCAAGCTGTGTGTCCAATGCTATGAAATGAGAATATTAAATAACATATTTATGGCATTTTCTTAGAGTGTGTGGTTGAAGAAATATTTCTCCTTTGGTTTTTCTTGTTCTGCTTCTCACCGCCACTTGTTTTAAGAGATCTTCCTAGGGGTGCAGAGGATATCCTGATTCTTAGAACAGCTGCTGTCCCAAGATTTGCCACCTTGTTCTGTGTTCAGACAGGGTCAGGTGAATGTGTGCAGCTTCTTTTCTCTCATGCTCTTCTCCCCATCCCCATCTCCATTTTCACCCGGAGCTCTATGTTTGTATCCAGAGGCCACAGGAAACATTCCTTGCATTTTGGAGATGAACTCATTCCCCATGGAGAGCAATGGTTTATTCCTAAACCTTTCTCTCCTGGGAACCCAAGGAGACTAGAATTTTGTGTATGTGCTGCCCTCCTCCTTTATTTTATTTTTTTAAATGCATTAAAAATTGTGCTAGTCTCCTTTGCTGCATGGACTTCAAAACTGCATGAAATGCAATAAATCTCATTTTAGATACTTTAGAGTCAGTTTCTGTGTCTGGGGACATTAATGGGGCCACTTTGCTTGGGAAAGGTTTGTTTGCCCTTGGGTATCTGGAAAGAAGGGGTACCCTTGTGAGAAGGGGGCATATCTGAGCCAAACTGAGGTCCCCAGTTTTATAAGTGAGCTTCACCAAAACACATTTGTTGCTCAGAAAGACCTGCCCAGCTGACCTAACTGGACTTTCAAACAGAGAACTGTGGCCCACTTGGATGAGGGCTGATGGGGCATCTCTCCCAGAGAATGCTAGCTGTATCCTGCAAGCAAGGAAAAAGGATCTAGGCCCTTTGTCAGCCAGCAGCTCATAGGACTTTTATAGCCAGAGTCTGGGTCTTGTCCATTGAAGCAAAGAGAATAGAAAGCACCAATGATGAGCATCTTTCTGACCCCCACCATCTTTACAATCAGAGTGGGACCAGTGGTGGTGGGAATGGCAGTGAACTGGGTACTGCAAGGAAAAGCAGGTGTTCATTTGCCATGGTACCATGGGCGGCTTCCTTGATTTGGGGACTGTCTCGGGGCAAGTGGAAATGGGAAGAGGCTCATATTAGATCATTTCAAGTCTAAGTGAGACACTTGAGATTCCTTTAACTATGAACCATGGCAACAGGACTTGAATTGGCATTCATGAAATAGGAAAGATTTCAGGTAACACTTTCTGCCCTCTGTTCATTCTTTCTCCTGAGAGATCCAGATCTTTCATACCTATTTAAATTTTTTTTTAAATTAGTTGTTGATGGGGGCTGGGGATGTGGCTCAAGCGGTAGCGCGCTTGCCTGGCATGCGTGCGRCCCGGGTTCGATCCTCAGCACCACATACCAACAAAGATGTTGTGTCCGCCGAGAACTAAAAAATAAATATTAAAAAACTCTCTCTCTCTCTCTCTCTCTCTCTCTCTCTCTCTCTCTCTCTCTCCCCCCCCCACTCTCTCTTTAAAAAAAAAAAAATTAGTTGTTGATGGACCTTTATTTATTTGTATGTGGTGCTGAGAATCAAACCCAGTGCCTCATGCATGCTAGGCAAACGCACTACCACTGAGCTATAATCCCAGCCCCTATTTAAATTTCTTACCAAGATTTAGGTCCATTGTTCTGGCCTGCTCTGCCCTTTACTCTCTATGTAGGGAAAGTGTTTGACTATATCTCCTTGTCTATGGCATGTGTCACCTGGTGTCATTTTCTTTAAGTGTTATCTTACCTCATTCCAGAATAAAAATTGAGGTGATCTGCAATGAAAACATAGCACAATGAAATAATAAAATAGGGCAAACCAGAATTAGGRAAAAACAATTGAGTAGGAAATAAGTGTCATAAATAACAAGAACAAAAAAGTATGGTGGTTATGAAGACCTACATAGTTAGAATGATTTGATGCTGAGCCTCCTGTCACTAAAGCCAAAAGAGGGGAATCAAGTAAGAGATTCATTCACATATGAAAGGAAGAAAACCAACACTTTTTCAAAAGCAAAGATTTTTCTAGTTTTAAGGTTTTGGATACATTGTACCCTTCCATTGTCATCAGGGAAGGTAAAACAGGTGACACTTATCACCATGAGAAATCAGTATCCCTTAATAGTTTGGGTGGCCCCTGCATGTTTCTGGCTCCCAAGTTAATGCCCTCCTTCTTGTATCCAGTTATTTTACCTCTGGACTTGTCTCTAAAGGGGTCTTCTGGCCTTTCCATCTGTCCCATACCCAAACACATCTTAGTGAGACAATCAGCAAGTTTTCACTGGTGGCTGCATGCCCAACTTTGTGGAAAGAGGCAAGAGAGTGTGAGTGAGCAGGCAGAGGGCCCCTGGTCTTAAGACAGACAAGGCAGAAGCTCTGTTATTTAATTTCCTGGGGCCCTCTGTCCCACTTTGCTGTTCTTCCACGCATTGCTGAAAATTCTACCACGATTGGAATTTCAGGATCATCCATGGGTCCATGTTTTCCCATAGGCTCCCCCTGTTCATTTTGGAGATGTTTCGATCAATTGTGATTGGCAAGCAGCTTCTCTGCTGAGCACTTTCTCTTTAAATTACCCTGCCAGCAGGGCCCTTCCCGGTGTAAACAAACCCTTTGGTGCAGCCCAAGAGAGCCCCTATCTAATACCCAGCATGATCCCCTTACATCCGGAGCACTCTTTAAACATTTTTTCTAGCATTTGCAACATCCGTCCTCCTGATGATCTTCACAGTGACCCTGCAGGAGAGACAGGAAGATGGATCATGATCCCTGTGTTACAGATGGAGTCATGAGAGGCCTGTTGAAATGAAGTGACTTGTCCAAGGTCATTCCATGAATTAGGGGTGGAGTTGATGCCAAAACACTAAACTGATCCTCTGCATATACAGCTGTTCCCTTGTCAAAGGTGGGATATGTATGTGTAAGAAAGAACAAAATATTGCCAAGTGTCGACTGTCTCCTTTTACTGAGCTTCCCCAAACTCACTGGCCCAGCCCTGAGTGTATGTGGAATAAATACATGATTGGGTCTGGTCTGGGGACAGCTGGTAATTGGGAACTTTCTGAGAGGCTAAATACTGAAGGTTGGAGACCCTTGGGTATGAATGGAGAACCTGGCTGGCTCCTTTGCTGCTCAGGTCTGCCAGTGCCACGAGGGGGCAGCAGGCAGCCCTCACCTAAATCCTGGGAGGTGCCTAATCCCGCCCTTTTCCCACCTTGAGACAATTCTAGCAACCCGTGGGGGTGTGACTGTCCCTTTTTCAGCAGGTACAAGATCTTTGGCTTCCTTACTGATAACAACCTCACTCTTTGAGTGGGGAAGCTTCTGTAGGATAACAATGAGGGCTGGAAACTACCCTTTTCAGAGCATGGCATCATGATTAGATCTTAATGAGTGCTTCTAGACAGCCCAAGTTCATTGAGAGTCTTTCTATTCCCCCAGCTTTCTTCTCACCCTCCTCTCCTCTACCTCCCCCTGCACTTAGTGCTCCTGTCACACCCCTATTACTCACTGGTTCTTGAACTCACCTCCATGCTTTCAGATTCTGCTCATCCCAGTGCCTGGAATGTCCTTTTATTCCCCTTTTCACTTATTGATCTCCTATACATCCATCAAGACACAAATTCAAATGGCTCTCACTGAGAAACTTTAATTCCCAGGCAGATCAGCGAGGACTTCTTCGATGTTCTTGTATCAACTTATATAGACTATTACTAGAGCTCACATACACATTCAGCAAATATTTCTTTGGCACCTTCTGTGTATCCAGTATTGTTTTGGACATTCTGAATACAGCTGAAAGCAAGCCAGATGAGATCCTTGCTATTGTGGAGCTTATTTTGGATGTTGAGTTGGGGGTGGGGTTCGGAATTGGAAATGGGAGAAATAGTAAATGCTAGACCAAGTTAGACTCTGAAAATACTCTGTCTTCCTCACAGGTGGTCCTCCTCAAATTCAGAGTCATTTCTGTGTCTCAAGATCCCAGCACAGGGCTTGGGATCAAGAGGGTAACAGTAACTGATGAGTAAGTGAATGAACACAAAGCCTGCCTTGCAGACAAACCAGAGACAGGGACTTCTGCACACTGCACACAAACCCACCTCTACTCATCTGACTCATGATTTTCTCTTGTTAACAGTTTTTTATTGCACATTGACAATATGCTAGGCAGCGCTATTAGGCAGAGATTATACTTTTAAGAAATTTATGTGTTGGAAAATAAAGCTAAAGCTTGGTACCTAAATGGATTCTTATTTCATCTTCACATCCTTATTAAGTAGGTATTCTCCCTGTTTTATAACAAGAGCTTAGGCTCAAAATTGCCCAAGGGCACCAGCTAGTTTCATGGAGCCAACTGCTCCAAAAAACCACCTGTCCCAGGTGGCCCAGCTGCCTCAGTCCCATTGGTCTTGTCTGCTCTGTTCATGATTCTTTTCCTATAGAGAATGAAAGTCCCCTCTCCATCAATTCCTGGGAAAGGGCCTAGCATTTGTCCCACAGTTCCAGCCATCCATAGGCTTTTGTCAGGTAGCACTTGACCTCCCTAGAGGAGAAGATCCTAGGGTAGAGATTGAGTGCCCAGTCACAATTTGAGCATGGTGGCGCACACGTGGAATCCCAGCAACTTGGGAGGCTGAGGCAGAAAGATCACAAAATGAAGCCTTGCCTAAGCAACTCAGCTAGCCTGTCTCAAAATTTTTAGTAGAAAGGGCTGGGGGTATAGCTCARGGGTAGCACACCGCTGGGTTTAATCCCCAGTACCACGGGGGTAAAAACAAAACATGCCGAGTCACAGGAGTAACTTGGGCATGGCYTTCTTGAGGAGGAGCCACGCTGGTGGTGTCACCCCTAGGCTGGGTACTTGCCACTACCACACAACCCAGGAAGAGGGGACAGGAGGACAGCAAAGCTGGCAGTCAAGGGCAGAGAACCTGAGCTGGGCCAGGCTGGGCTAGGCTTCTCTGTTTGGCTGGTGCTAAGGTAAGATCTGAAATAGAGCCTGACCCTCCAACAGCCCTGAGCCTCCTGCCTTTCCTTAGTGCCCTG